GCCCCCCTCATTACCTCGTGTTAATTGCCGATTGTATTCACCTGTTGCCTGTTATGTTCAACTTGTTCCGTGTATTTATTCCCCAGTATTCCCCAGATCTGTCATTGATGTTTCATGTTGGTTGCTGTCTGCCCTGATTAAACCCCGTGTTATAGTATTCACGGCTCTCTCATCCGATTCCCCACTTGCCTCGCACGCCAATCGTAACACTGTCCTGCCGATGTAATAAATAGTGGGGTATTTATAAAGCAAAAGGGAGTTTCATACATTTCTCACAAATCCATCTAGGTGTACTATAAAGCAGAAAGGATGAAAATGATTATGATTGTCTCGGAAAATGATTGTCTCTGCTCATGCAAAAGCAGCAGAGGTAAAGTTTAACCTGATTTATAAACATATATTAGATAATCTATAAAAACAATAATAATTAAAATTGCAAAGCTATCTAAGGTTGTTTTTCTATGACAGAGTAAAAATGTTTTAGAGAAACTAAAACTCCCTGTGCTATAATGTCCATACAGAATTGAAAGTAAGGAAAAGCCTGATCTTAATCTACTTGACTAGTGATATAATAATTGCATGTGCATAACATACGATGTCCATATAGGTTATATGCCATTGGAAAACAAACACCTTGAAGTATTGTACTTTTGGTATTTTCTCGAAGTACCAAAAGTTTGGTACCTGGTGCAGTGGAAAAGCACCCTGAGTGTCCCCTGCCTCGTGCCCTATGATGCCCATGCATCTTGCCCTGAGTGTCCCCTGCCTCGTGCCCTATGATGCCCATGCATCCTGCCCTGAGTGTCCCCTGCCTTGTGCCCTGTACTGCCTGGGATAGGGGCCCGACCCTCCTGTGACCCTGACCAGAATTAGCGATTGGGAGATGGATGTATATTCATCTTTATTCAATACAACCTATGCAGAACAGGGTCACAATGAGCCAATCCCAGGAAACAGAGGGCAGAGGAAAGGGCACAGGGCACAAGGCACAGGTCACAGGGCACAGGGCACAGGGCACAGGGCAGGGGGCAACCTGGAGGGAATGCCAGTCCAACACCAAGCACACAGTCACATGGTGGGAAATCTGGAGACACAAATTAACCAAACTTCATGTTTCTAATAATAATAATAATAATAATAATACATTTTATTTGTATTGCACTTTATATTACTGTAGTAATCTCAAAGTGCTGCAGAGTAAAAATAAAGTAATAAAACAGGAGAATCTATAAAATACTTCAACAAAAAGGCTTTTTAGGTTTCGTTTAAAAGCATCAGTCGACTGGGGCTCTCAGGTAGTCGGGGAGGGTGTTCCATGTTCATGTTTCTGGACTGCTAGAGGATACTCCACACACACACAGAGCCTGAATCAAACCCACGGTCCACAGCTGGAAGGCTACAATGCCTGGCATGTGCCACCCTGGACAAAATGCCCAGAAGGTGGCATATGTGATTTAAAAAAAAGAGTGAACAGAAAATGGAGAGTCACTGCTTCAGGAGCCCATGAGCTGTTTGACCTGTTCATATTAGTATGTAAAATTATAAGATACTTTGCATAAAAGCACCAGACAAGCATCTAGAAATGCATGTTTGAGTTTCTAACAAACTAATGCCCTGCATGTTGACCATACAAGACGAGACCTTTCAGCGCTGAGGGGAAATAGATTCAGGAGAATGTAACCTAATTACAGCTGAGCCAGGGGGCTCAAACGGCTGCCAAGAGGCACGGCAGGAGAAAAACCGAGCTGTAAACACTGACGCTGACACACAAGTAGCTCCTAAGGCCCCCGGCGCAAGCAGCGCTCAACCTTTCTGAACCACTCGGGCCAAACAACAGGACCACTCCTGCAGCAAATCGGGAATCGCATTATCTGCATCACCTAATGTGAGCCTTATTTACGCAATAGACATGCATCTGCAAGATTATACTGGGGGGGGGCATCCACTGAGGCTCTCTACTCATCTATAAGGGTGTTAGACATCAAATGTTTCAGCTGTTAACCGGGAATGTATCACAAACGGGAGAAAAAAGAGCAGAGAGATGCATCTGGTATGTTCTGTCTTACAGGTAAGACGGGTTAGAACACTCAGAGTGTAACGAAATATTTAAAAGCAACCTACGCCACTTTTCTGGAGCCATCTTTTTTGTCCCTAACACCAAAGCGTCGGGAGTCCACTGGAGCGACTTTCTGAAACCACCTGACTAAAAAACTGGCAATTATGAGCTTATTTTACATGTGACGTTAATCCTAACACTGAAGTGTCATTACAGTAAAGCATCCGACCTTCAGTCACCCTTAGTTGCTGGGCCTGAATACCTTTCATACCCTCTCTTGCCGACAGGAATGCCGTCCATCTCATGGCACTCTGACAGGACGAGCCTCTGGTACCAGGGACCGGAAGACGAGCATTTTAAACAGAGTTTGAACAAGAATTCATACTGACCCAATGTCCTTCTATGCAGCTAAGGCGTACAATGTTTGCATACAGTACAATCTGACTGTATCAGACTGTTCCTTGTAGGCATTCACATACACAAACGTACCAAAAAGAGGGATCTCAGGCACACACACACACTGAAACCCAGCTAATGGCAGTAGGTTGCTGGCTAAGAGTGAGGTTGAAAAGGGACTGGAGCTCAGCTGCCCAGGTCCTGAGGTTATTCTTATAGAGCAGTAAAGCTTCCAGTGGGACTGGGTTCGATGGCCACCACAGCCCCCAGTTGGAGCCCCAATCCGGCCTGCTGCCAGCATATGAAGGCTGTCTTTAAAAAAACAGTCTCACCCTGATTTGCTGTTATTCATTCCATTATCAGAAGCTCCACCTATTGCACTTTCCCACACAGAAGGAAAGACGATTAACTTAGACTAACGGAATACAGAATTAAAACAGTCACGTAAGGGGCAAAAAAGTAAAGCTATACACCAAAACGTTTCCACTTGCAAAGAAAAATGGAATGCAGAGAGAAAACAGAATCTGATACAAGAGACACGGAAAGAAAACATTTCTTCAAATTTCTCATTTAATTACAAAGCAAGCAACACCAAGCCATAAATACAGCCGGCAGCTGGAATTCGCCGTGACCATGCAGACATGCCGGACATGTGCTTGCACAGAAAGCCAGACCAAAAATAGCCCCCGCCAGTCTAGCACATCCAAAGTGAAAGAGGCCCCCACATGGCATACATTGATACATGTTATTTAGAAGCTCTCGATGTTCTTGGACGTGCGCATACATCTTTAATGAGTAGAGCGGATACTGCGTGGAAAACCAGTAGGAATGGGGGATTCTTGGAAGTACTTCCAGGACCCTGAGGTAAGTGGGTGGTCTGGGGGGCCAAATAGAAGCTATCGGTCCTGACCGGCTGGCACAGCATGAAGCCCCCAGATTGCATCCAGGAGAAGAAGTAGGCAGGACGAGACGGAAACAGAAGAGTCGAGCGGAACGTCCCCAGCAGTCACCCAGATAATGAGATGGCTTTGCGTCAACGCAGCCTTGATGGAAACGAGCACCTGAGGAATACCTGCTTCACTACATCTGCCTGAGCTTCCAGACGACACGTGCGGCGCACTGTGGCTAATTAACCTCTCGTATGACACGCTCGTATTAAGTCCTATCTCCCCACGTCGTTTAGTGGGGGTATTCTGTGATAACACACCTGGAATACAGAGACTCTGGGCCACCAGTACAGCTTCCCATCAAATCCGCTGCCATCATCGTCATCGTCACTGACATTATGCGCCACCAGAGACCAAAGAAAAAATTACGCAATGAGTCAAAGTAAGCCAGGAAACTGACTAATCACAAATAGGAAAGGGGAAAAAACAGATTCTGTAAATGCTTTACCGGGTAATAGCAGACGTCAAACAGATGCACAGCTAAATGGAAACTTCAGGAATATTAGCACCAGTTTTAAATTTAAATCCATTGCATTACTTAAACTGGAACACACTGAACATGCTGCCATGTCATGTCCAGTAGGTGAAATGTATCAACTTTTGTCTTACTATAATAAAAAAAATTATCTCTCTCGTTGCAGTTATATAAGTGAGCTCTGAAGAGTCATAAGAGATGTTGCAGCAGCAAAAATAGAGCGTAGTGTTCCAATATTGCATAATAATTTCTGTGATACGGAATGGGCAGTATTTGAAGGGAAGTATGTATCGGTGCAAACAGCTCACAATGCAACAGGAATCCTGTAAGCTACAAACACAGAGCAAAGCGCGTGTCACCCAATGTCATTAACCTTTTTACACTCTACAACATTTATTGACTGTGTTTTCTGTCACCTCTCATAAATCCCCCTCACATCCCCCACAAATCTGGCAACCCATCCTCCAGCGTAACACATCGATAGCCACCGAGGGGGAGATCGGTGAACTGTTGACATGGCACAGAGCTCATTAGAGGAAGATCCCTTAACAGCTCGCGGGTAATGGATGGCGGACACGGGATGTCCGTCTCACGCCGTTAAGCAGGTGTTCGGTTTCACGCTGGGCCAAGACACTGCGAGGTGACCACGCTAACCCCCGCGGCAAAGCGGGCGCTAGAAGACAGCAGACGCTGAAAACAGCACGCCGTTAAATGCGGAAGACGCAGGAGACAGCGGGAGAGCCCACACACTCCACAACAATAGGGGCAATTTGCTAAAAAGGTTACCAGTTTGCTAATGATGACTTATAACATGCATGCCATTCTAGCCAGACCATTCTGAGATGTGTTGAATTGCTGAACATAAAACCAATTGGCTACTCATGGAGATACCTGCCACCCCCCCGACCCTGTTACTGAAGTGACACCCAAGACAGCCTAGTGAGTTTGACCTGGACCACCACAGTTCCCTGATGACAGACGGCCCCATGACGATAGCGACAGACCACCATGCAGCAGTGGTTGCTACAACAACAGGCTGGCCGGACCGTGACAACAGACACCTGGCCTGAGTCAGCTCACCATTGTGCTACAAGACGGTGAGGGGGTCCTTGGACCACCGGCCTACCTGTATTTCATGCCGGTGCGGGTGGCCTGGTCGCCAGTAGAGGGCGTGTTCTGCACGGACAGCTGACCCAAGCTGCGGGCAACCATCGCGACGGCACGGAACTTGCTGCGTGTGCCCGGGCTGCTCGCATTCTGCCGGTTCAGCCGGTCCTCCGCGCTGCGGTTCACCGCCCGGTGGTCGCTGCACACGAAAGACACCTGCATCCCGGCCTTGCCGCTGTGCCCTTACACGTACTCACGCAAATGCGCACGAGGATGGACGCGAGTTACCGTCGCGGTACGAGAGAGGACGGCCCCAAAAACAGGAGCAACAGCTGGTCTCAGGGATTTTCCAGGGGGGCAAAGTGGTGTGTCTATCGCCTGGCGTTGGTCTGGGCACGCTGTGGATCGGCCTCCTGGATGCAGCCTCGCAGTGTGACGGGGGGAGCCCAGCTGCCACAGCCCCCAGGACGAGGAGCAGAGACCCTAAGCTCAGAGAGCACAGCAGTCCATGTTCACAGAGGAGCCCAGTCTCCCCTCAAGTTTCTCCTCCCCTGCGCTGAGAGCCTCCGTCTCCCTCGCTCAAGCTCCCACGCTGCGTCCCCCTCGTGAGCCGGCGGCTGAGATCGGCGTTCGCGCGGCACCAACTCCGCGCACGTGAAGGCGTGAAGTGAAAGAGAGAGCGCGATGATGATGAGGTGGAGAGAGAGAGAGAAAGTGGGGGAGAGAGAGGGAGGGAGAGAGAGAGGAAGAGAAAGAGAGAGAGAGTGGAATCCAACAAGCCCGTTGCTGAAGCACCCACTGCCTAGGGAACATGGACATTGACGCTGGTCTCTGCTTCTACTGGGTTAAATTTACATGTCAGTGCTGCTCACATGAGCATGATAGAGACAGTTTGGAGAGAGAGGAGCTGGTAATGCTGGGGGGGGCGATGATGGGAGAGCAGTGAGAGACAGAGAGTGGGGAGGGCAGCCTTCTGAATGTGTCCGGCTTCTGTAAGCGCAATGTCCTTGCACACTTCCTAACATTCTGCAGTAGGGGGCACCACACTGACAGTGGATGTGTAACCCTCATCCAAACTAGTATTTGTCCCCAAGAGTGACATGAGGCGATATTCTACAACTTTCCAGCCATCTTTAACTTCCCTTCAGAGCCAATGATCCGAACGTTTCTAAGCATACTTTCAAAAAAATGACATCAGACTGGTTGCGAATTTGAATGCGGCGTTGAATCTCCCTTTCACTGACAGTAACTGTTTGCATCATTCATATACCAAATAAAGAGCAAAGAACTAGTCACTTCAAACTTCAGTGCAGCATGAACGAAAAACTTCCAGGAAAAGTATTCATGGCATTATGAAAATGGAATTTGATTTCAATGGAATTCAACACAAACACAGGAAACATCTCCAAGTCCTTGGGGGAAAAAACATTTGCTGAAAATATTGAAAATACTGAAATCAGGCAGTCAGATGTTAGAACTTCTTTTTGAGAGTCTGTGTCATGTGATCATCTGGCCCATAATGTCTAGCGTAACAAGACAGGCATGTGACTTTCCTGGCTTCACAAGGTTCTGTATGGTCAAAACAAACAGGGGCAAAAAAATCCTTTAAAAGGACAAAAATGTAATTTCCACAATAGTTAAAATTATGCAATATCCTTGTTCTAGTACTGAAGATAAAACGGTCATTACGGGAAAAAAAAATCTAGAAAGGAACAACCTAGTGCTGTATTTTTTTCTCTAAAGCCCCAACAGAAACAGAAAAGACATGCAGATATAATTAAAGCTGCCAAATGAAGACAAACATCAAGCTCTCTCTCTGCTAAATTTGCTGTGAGATACCGCGCTTCGGGCCATTGAGCACAACGTCAAAGGTAATCCAGAGAGACATTTAAATTGGATTCTAACAGACCAACGAAATACTTCAAAAGAAGCACCCCCCCCCCACACACATACACATAAAAAACCACTCCTCAGATCCTATGACAGCTCTCCCCTGTCATAACCAGAATGTTGCATATTTAAGGTGATCCTGAGACTTGGTTGTATGCGAGGGTTTGTCTGTGGTCCTTCTGGCCCACGTGGTGCAATGGTAACTTCATTTGAAGTACATGAACTCTGAATCTGCCTCTTCCCCACAAAATTCCCAGCCATGTTCGAGTTCTCAGAGCTCCATCTGAAATTTAGACCAAAACTAAGGTCTTTAGATAGTTCTGGCGTGCTTAGAGATTTCTGTACTGTACCTTCTTTTCAGGGATTATCACAGAGTGTTCCTCTCAGCTCAGCAGTCTGCCCACTTCCAAGCTACAGACACACTGGAATTTCTGCAGTTCATCCTCAGAACAGCGACATGTTGGGCAAACAAGACAGGAACTACATCGTCTCTGCAGGGACGGAACAAATATTGGATGTGCAAGCACTGAATGCCAGAACGTTCAGGGATGACAGGACAGAGCCACCAAGGGTTTAATAACACAGCAAAGTCTCTGTAGTGACTAATATTCAGCAGTGGTGGATGAGATTATGCTGTTTTTAAGTGGATCAAAGGCAATTTCAATTTGCTGCGAAAACTAGATTTTTCCTATCTTGTAATTTTTACAGACAAATCGCACCGATGTCCTGTTTAGATATACGCGTTTCATTGGTTTTGTTTTGTACTCCCAACATTAATGTAGGGCATAGTAAACATCGTGACAAAACTGAATTAGCGGGAGCCTTAGTGTATGGGCCTGGAGATCAGCAGCTCATCCTCATCTGTTCCTAACCTCCAGCACCACTAGCCGGACACTGTTATAATGTTTATTAATGATAAATCTCGTTATGTGCTATTTACCCAAACTAGGCTAAAACATGCCCTGTTATATACACATACCTATGATATTTTTTATTTTTTTTTTGTCAGCGGATTTTAATCAGGGAATTTAGGTAAACATTTTTAGCAAATGATGTAATAAAAGTGTCCCAAATATTTCAGTTACACTGTTTTAACAAGCGGTCTATGTATAGGTTACATAGCAACTTTAATAGGCTTGATTGTTAATAGGCTATATGAATATTTATGAGGAGAGTTTAAAATTATTTTTATTTGTACATACGTCCATCATTTGAATAACGGAAAGGCAGCAAACTAGTCAGGGAATTCTTTCCAGTTGTAGTCCCAGGAGTGGTGATGTTCCACCACTGAGTAAGGTCATTAACCCCAATCGCTTGAGTAAAATGGCTGTATAAATGGGTTAAAAAATAGGTTAGGGTAAAATTGCAAGGGGTAGGATATGGCTGGGCACTCTGCGTGGCCAGGGGGGTGGCCAGTCATGTGCCAGCAGTGGGGATCCACCTGGGGTAAAATGTATGCCACCTCACGGTGACCCAAAGCAATGAATGTGACGGCTCTAATTGTTAAGTGACAGTGACGCTGATCGGCACCGACTTCCTGACAGGTAAAGCAATTACAGCGGCGGCCTGTAGCAGCTGCGCAATGTAATTACGACGGCGCAATGTAATTGAATTCAGGCGCTTAACAGGCACTTTCCTCCGAAGCAATTCGCACGGCTCACGATGTGACCTCCTTTCGCAGTTCGACACTTTAACCGTTTGGTTTCAGCATATTTGAAGGCAACAGCGGCTCCTCGAACCCGAACCGGTGGCCTGTTCAAAGGGGTTGCTCCGTGATGGACGATCTGGCCGTCAGCATTTGCTGTCTGTGGGCTGACTATCATACACTTGTCTTTTCACATCCTGTAGGTTAACACATTTTAATTGGTTTCACTGACAGATTTGGTGTTATGACTTTTGATTATTTTTCCACCTGAGACAAAGGTTATACAATGTACTGAAACGTCGTCATTGTGTTCATTCACACAAACTGATCGCGATGCAAAATATATTTTATTACGTACACTTTAGGATTTCAGTGAATTAATTAAATTAGTATGGGATAACTGCTCTTGCTCTTCCAAGCAAGCTGAACTTAGGAAAATGACGTTTTCGCTACTCTTTCCCGGCAGCAAGGTTGCGGGTTTTCCATGAGCCGCCTTCACCATCACCGTGATTGCACCTCCCGCCACTTCCCCCGGGTTCGCTTTCAACCACTTCAAACACGTTGCTGAGCTCTTAAACAGGGCTGCAGAGCCGGCCGGGATGATGCCCTCCCCAAAGAAAGAAAGAAAAAAAAACACAGTAGCGTGCTTTTTTTCGTACTTTTAAGTTTGTCGCATTTCACGCGCTTTCATCTCTTAATCCCAAGTTGAAGGACGTGGCTAAGTTGACATTGCTGTGGCTCATGTTCAGACTCATTTGTATACGAGGTACCCCCCCCGCACTTTTATGCAGTACTGTACTGGATATGCTAGTGACACTCATTCTGCTCCGGTTTTGAAAAGCAATTGAACTATAAAAGAAACACATTAGGAAACAGTCAGCTTTGAGTTTTTCGTGTATCAGAATGATTGGGAAATTCTAATAATCTTAATGTGGGGGAATAGAACGCTTTACATATTGCCAAATGGGTTGAACTGTAAAGGCACCTTCCCTTTTAATCTAAAACCGTTTCCTCTCTAGGCAACACAAGGCTTATACGAAGGGCTCACCTTGGACACAAGGACAACTTAGTGAGCCACCGTGCCACCCTCCATAGAAACTTATAATAAGGAAACAGCTTAACACGGCTAAATACAAACAGCCTGCAGCACACACAAATCACCACAAGGAGGAGACAAGGTATGCGTAATGACAACTTATATGTTTTTTTTATTTTATTTTATTTAAATGCCTGTTTGATATAATTTAGTCATTTTTTCATGTGAAGAAATCTGAGAAACATTCATTTGAGAGAAAAAGATTGCTGTACTGATACATTAAGCCTGGTTAAAAAGTTCCCTTATAATGGGTAAGACACTCTCAGAGAAAAAAAGTACCAGTTTGTAGTTTTGAGGGGTACAGTTACTTATCACTGGGTCTGTACCCTCAAGGGTCTGCCACTGTACCCTTAACCACAGGTAAATGTACCTTTTAAGGTACAGAAATGGACTCTGAGGAGCATTTTTGTACTATTGGGGGGTACAATACTGACTGGTTGTTTGTACCATGGGGAAAAGGGCTGTTCCGTTTTTTCTGACAGTGTATAGAGTGCAAATGTCCTAACGTCAATTTGGCAGAAACAGGGGAGTTCATGGGGGTACAAGCTTACTGCTTGGGCAACGCACATATTCAGCCACGATGCATCGTGATGTGATTTGTAATATGAACACCGTCTAACGCGCTCAGGAGGAGACTGACTGCAGACATGCCGGATGGGAGGGGATTTCCCCGGACCGAGGCAGCGGTGCTGTAACGGGATCTGGGCACCTGCTTCCCAGCTTTCCGGACTGCCTGGCAATGCGGGGAATTTCACTGCTTAATTGACAAAGATCTGCCATTAGCAGTACTGCTTGCATTATCTCAAATCTTAAATCTCTTCTGGTGTTTAACCCACGTCAGGGATTTTTAATCAGATACAGATACTAATATCTTTCCGGAGTTGTAACATGTAGATACGGCAAATCTATTCTATCTAGTAATACAGCGCTAAATCTTAAAAGAGAGGGTTTGATCAGCTTGGGTTATATGTTTGAACACAAGTATTTAATATTCGATAAATGACATTAAAAACACGATAATGAATGAGCAGTGCAGGCCGGCAGTGACGTTTTCTTGTAGCGGCCGTACCCGAGTCCATGTTGACGGTACATGCCTGTAACACAGAATGCATCGTTCTTCGGCCGCAACGTTGTTTGCAAATGTGCAGTGAAAACACCAGGTGTAAGCAGGGGAAACACACCTACATGTACAGAACGTGGCCTTTCCCCTGTCTCCTTACTCACCATTTCTTGGGTGCACCAGTGTGTCCCCTGACCTGAGAGAGGCCAAGAGACACATCCATCATGCAAACCTTTTCTGAACCATCTGCATGCCCATATCTGCTGGCCGGTTCATCATTATGAGCGTTAAGCTGTTTTTGTTAGCAATTTCAACACCAGTTAGAAACTCTACTGTCTCTCACTATATACATGTAAGCGGTGTACATTTTCTCAAAGGAATGAGGAACCACAGGGGCCCGTCGGCACACAGGACCTTCTTTAGACATGACACCGCTGCCAACAGGGCTCAGCTGGACTCGGTCCACAACACGTGCCCTACAAGGTCAGGAGGCGTTAAAAATAAGGGGGACGGCCGACAAACAGGCTCTCTTTGCTCCCAAAAACAAGAGAAGCAAAATAATATGGTCTTTGAGAAGTAGTGTGGACTCCCAGGCAAAGCATAACCCAGAAAAACGAGGTACATGACAAAAGACACCTGATTAAAAGTGTTACCATTACGGTTACTGTGTCGCCACTTGAATGATGGATTGATTGACTGACTTACTGACTGACTTTACTGATCCATGGGGTAAATTCATTCACATACAGCAACAAGGTACATATAGTGTATAGATACGAACATATAGTACAGGGGTGTGCAATCTTACCCGCAAAGGGCCAGTCTGTATGCAGGTTTTTGGGATAACCATTGGGTCAGACCCAAGTGTGAGGACTCTTCAGCCAATCAGTTCTCTAATTCGTAACCTAATTAGGGAGCTGCAGCAAAAACCTGCAAACACAGCGGCCCTTTCTGATATAGTGCAACTCAAGATCAAGTGTAGACACAATACACAATAGGCAAGTAATACCATGCAAGGATTATGATCAAGTAAAAATGAGCATGATGAATATGAAGAGGTATGAATAAGTATGATTAAGCGTCAATGAGTATGAATGAGTATGAATAAGCATGAGTGAGTGTTCCTGAGTAGTAAGTATAAGGCAGATCTTGTCTAGCCTGCATGGCTGCATAGCATATTATACCACAGTAAACATAAAATAAGGAAGTGTCCATTACTCATATCCCGACAGCCCAGCTATCTGATATTCATAGTGCTCAGTCAGCTCAATTGTAATGAGTCCTGGAAAAGGTCATTAACTGCTGCTGAGATCAATGTTTCTTTCTTTCAGTCATACAGAAGATTCACTTCAGCGATGGAAAATCAGTCATTACATTGTAACCCTGTGGCTGATACACAGCATCTATATCCACAGTATTGTGGGTGCAGAGTATTGGCAAAATATGTATTAATGAGCAGATTATGTATAATATAAACACAATATGTGGATCATAGTATTTCTAAAGAATTAATGGAAGTGCAGAGAAGAACATATATGTAAGGACACTATTATGGGATGGAATTCTACCACCGGCATAAAAGAACCTGAGTATATGTGTAGTGTTGTTGAAAGACGTAATAATGAAATCAGTAGCTGTATGTATGTATAGGGGCTCAAATTTAAAAGACATTCTCAGATACCATTAGTAGTTGTTGATACTTTGACTCAAAGAGAATGAAATAAGTGTTAATTTAAACAACTTATGGATTCACCAGTACGCTTCTCCTGACTGAAGCTGCAACCTTTTGGTTAATAGTTTACAGACAGTCAAACCATCTTAGGATCCTCATGCCTGGGCTATATTACTGTTAGGTTCTTCAGTCTCTGACAAAGATTCGTATCTCATGCACCCCCTAGTGGCAACAAAGCTGCAGTCTTTTTATGGGCCATGATGCAAAAATAGCTCTTTGGTATTTTAATGTCTGTTGTTGAACCAACTAGAATAAACCTGCAGACGTGCTGTGAATTTTTATTAGCTGTTTGACAGACTTGCCATCACATTTTAGTTTTTAAATTGAATCAATGATGCACAAAATGGCAAAAGCGGAGGGATATGTGCTGTAAATGTACTTTGACTGCATACGGGGTACGATACACAAGGTAAATCCTGAAATTGGCAGCCTGTGTGAGGCTCTCCCCACTAGATGGCTCCACTTCTTCACTCTTCAGGTCTCACAAAGAGATTTGGGAACAGGAGGCTTCCGTGTCACAAGGCAAAGCCCATCAGCACCGACTCCAACTCCACCTGGAACCAAGCCCTAACCCCCTGCACCTTCCACAGAGCTGTCTGTCCGATAAGCTCCGTCTGTGATGACAGTTTAGCTTAGGTTAATAATTCTTACGGATTGCCACATGGAGGAACTGACGGTCTGTCAAAGCAATCCCCTAAAGAATGAATACAAGGCTTAGCACGGGCGTGAACGTGTGACAGATAGCTGGAGGGGCTTTTCTCTTCCAGGCCTTCAGGTATAAAGTCCTCTCTCGCTGCACGACCGGGAGCCGTGAACAGTGAAGCCATCACACATGGAGAAAAGGGGTCCTTCTGGGGGCAGCTAGGGTCAGAAAGTACCCCAGAAAGTACAGAATGTATATATTGCGATTCAGATCATACATTCTGGCGCAGTGGTTAGCGCTGCTGCCTCACAGCAAGAAGGTCCTGGGTTTGGTCCCGGGGTTGGGCGTAGGTCCTTTCTGTGTGGAGTTCACACGCTCACCCCTCGTTCATGTGGGTTTCCACTGGGGGCTCCAGTTTCCTCCCACAGTCCAAAAGCATGTAGGGCAAGTTGATTTGAGAGTCTTTAAGTGTGTGTGTGTGTGTGTTGGCACCTGCCCAGGGTTAGTTCCCACCTGCACCCCTTGTTCCCAGCATAGGCTCTGGGCAACCTCAGCTGGGATTAAGCAGTTACAGGGATGGATGGATCATATATTCTGATCATGGTATGGATTGTGTGTGCAGAGTTTGTGTGTTCTCACCATTTCATTGCATGGTTTCCTCCAGTTATCACTAATAATCCAAAAACATGAAGAGTTGCCAAATTGTAAGCAGGTTCAAATGGTGTGTGACCCTAAACAGGACAAGCAGGTATGAAAGATGGATGGTATGAATTGTGTTATATGTTACGTATAATGCCGTATGTTTATTGCATTTTATGTAGTGTCTGTGTGCACTGTTCCCGTGTAGACACGTGGCATCTTCACGCCTGAATATACGTATTTCCGACATACCAAGGATAAAACATCCATAAAGTGTATAAGCTGCACAGCAGTTCTTCTGAATTGTACTGCTGAGGTTCTACTTAACCCTCTGGAATCGGCCGTCCCCCCAACGGGATCTGACAGAAATTTCACCAAACCGTTTAAATAACTCTGCGCGTTTTTGTCATATAAACATTTGAAAAACAACCTCAGAAAGCTTGGACGGTCTACTTTTCAAATATATATATAGGTAGAAACTAACTATATTTTTACAGCTTTGTGATACGAATAGAAGGAACAAGAGTGCATCTTGGCCATGTATGTAATTTCCACAATATATTAAAACACGGGTACGTCATACATGGCATTTTTATGATTATTTCACGAGCACGGTTCCGTAAGCTAAGGCACTGGTCTGTAATGAAAAAGCCCCAGCTTTGGTGCAGTCATGGTTAATGTACCTCAGACAGTTACAGATACTAATCCAGGAGGCAGATTCTGGCACAGGGGTGCGTCGGTTCTAATTAGGAACTGTTGTTCTTCACACTGCCAGCTGAGAGACGGAACAATATGAGGCAAACAGATACAGGCATATTCAGGGAGAACAGAAGCTAATGAACAGAACAGCTGCAGGCAGGCAGTGGGCGGGAGGATCAGACTGTCACTCAGACTCACTCAAACCCCATTGGCTGAGAACAGAAAACAGCCTTCCATTGGGTGCTTTGTTGGGCATCTCCCAAAACAGGGTGTGCATTGGGCGCAATCGACAGGCCCCTGTTCTGGTGGAGGGTATGTGAATTGGTATGTGAGCAAAACAGATTCTTAAAACCATTTCAGGACCAAACAGGCCAGGGCAGCTGCAGGGTCTGAAGAAGCACACTGCAGGTCACTCTCACAAAGCTCGCACTCCTGTCTGGGGAGGAGCCTCTGTGTCATATCACTAAAACAGATCTGCGTCATTTTTCCCACAATAAAATCCATCAACAAAATTCCAGCATGCGTCCCTCTAGCTTTATTCGCACGCCCTACCTCTGGATGCCAAATCAGATCCCCCAGTTCCAACCAAAAGCATACAGTTCGCTTGAAGTACACATCTTTAACCACCACGCCACCTCCTGGCCTGAGAAGAAAATGCACTGACACACCACAAGTGTCACAGTCGGTCACGCAGTCAACAGGGTGCCAGTGAGTACTCGAGTTAAACGCATCGATCACTGCGAACAGGAAGCTGGGCTCCACGGGGACACATGTCACTTCCTGCCAGACCAGTGCATGCTTGGTCCCCTTACCTGTACCGCATGCCGGTCTGGTAAGCGACGCAGTCCTCCAGCGACAGGCTGTTGGTCCTGAGGAACTCCTCCATGTTCTTGAGCTGGGCGGCGGCACGCACCTCGCGGAGGCGCTGGAGCAGGGCGTGGTCGGCGGGCCGCGGGGCAGCCAGGCCCTGGTCCGAGTGGCAGCGGCCAAGGGAGGCGCTGAGGCCACTGTGCACACTGTCACTGCACGACACCGACAGCATCCTGCCGCTGCTGCTCCGCCGGATGCCACTGCTGGGGACGGCGCTGGCCGGCCGCGGGCTCTGCAGGCAGTCGGGGGGGACGCTTTGTTGGCGGCCGATGCTGCGTGCGGCGCCCCCACCTGGCTGCACCTCGCAAAGGCTGCTCCTCTGTGCGGCGAACATCCTTCGCGCTCGACCCCACCCCTGACCGTGACCTCAGACGACCTCCCTGAGCCCGCTCGCCGCACCGCCACGCCCCCCCCGCCCCCCGAACCCCCACCCACCAGGCGTAGCGTAGATCACGGGGCCGTTACCGTGGCGACGTCCAGAAGAACGTCGCCATGGCTCCAAGAAACCTCCCGCTTACGGACTCGACGAGCTTCCCCACCCCAGGTTTAGAGTGGAGAGGAGAAAGCAGGCAGCCTAGCATCATGTAATCAGAGATCCCCTAATCGCCACCCACTGGTCCACCCCCCCATGTGACGGGGACACAATGCCGACCTTAACCCGAAAGGCCCTGCTGCTTGGTTCCAGGTGAACGGCGTGTACTTGTTTTCAGTGTACATGTGCGAAGGAGCCAGAACCGTGATGTGGGGGTCATCGAGGGACTATTTTTCCAGAATGTGTATGTTTGGGGGGGGGGGGGGACCTCTGTCTCTGAAAGACCCCCCCCCCGAAGCGCTGAATTAGCTTGAACCCCACTTAAGTGAACTGCTAACTTGTGTTTGTCAAAAAATAGAGCAGCACAGTGACAGGCCAAGGCCAAAGAGAGCCCCCCCCCCCATCGGAAAAGCCCCCCCCCGCCGTTCCACCACAGGCACAAAAGCCAAGGGCTTGAATATTAACACTTTACATTTAGTAACACACAGTCGAGTGCGTTTCCCTGCAGTGACAGAACTGCCTCCTGGGCAAAGTTTTAAATGTCCGGAACAACTTTCAGGTTCCGTCGAGTACATGTAGAATAATGCCTGTTTCTTCCCCAGAAACAATAACAATCTGTCTCCAGTAGCTCATCCCTCTAATCGCATATTAAATACTAGGCTGTCTAGCTTGCTATAATGTCTGCTGGGTCCCAGCAAACCACTTACACAGGGCAAATGACCTGTTTCTTTTCGTCCTTATGGAAAAATTTTCTTGAAAGAATATTAAGTAGTGGATTTGCATATAATATTTCTGCTCCTGCCATTACCCCGGGTTGTGCAGGTCAACAGCCGTTTCCAGGCGTCCGAATGACTTCATGAGCTGTGCACACATAACGGCAGCGAAGCGGAACTGAGACGTGTCTGTAAGCACGCTGCATGCTTTGGCACCGTTACCTACATACGAAGGTGAGCGAAGCCCCCCACTCAGTTAGCACAAGGAGGAGGGGCGTGCAGGTGACTTTATCCATGTAAAGATACAGTATCACAGTTTGACTCTGATGTCTTTATGTTACGTCATTTTGACCTCTTAACACGTGTTCTAAGCCGTGTGCTGACCATAGGAGGCAGCGCTATGGATAATTTGTCAGTTTCCAGAAAATACGTCTTACACTTCAATAATGAATCCAGAGCATTAAGCATTGGACAGTGCATATTATATCCTGCACTCAGATAGAATTTGGGTATCTGAATATTAGACATATTTATGCATTAACTGCCCCATTAATTGGCATTAATTTGTGCATCAAATCACACATTCACAAATATCAAGTTTTAGATATTCAAATTTTGGTTATTTTTTGCAGATAAGTTACCAAAATGATATATGGCCAGTTTCCCAGTCAAGGATTAAGCCTAAGCCTAGACTAGCTTTGAGTTACAATGGTGAATCTCCATTGAAATGGCAATTTAGTCCAAGACTAGTCTTAATCCTAGTTCGGGAAACCGGCCCATAAAATATTACAGGATAAGATTAAGATAAGTAATATTTAGTAAACATTTAAAACTTT